GCCACTGCACTCCAGTCTGGGCGACAGAGTGAGACTCCAACTCAAAAAAAATAAATAAATAAATAAATAAATTCATACTAGTGGTGCCCTTCAGGTGGTATCAAGGTTACCCGGGAGCTTTTTAGAAACGCAAAGTCCTAAGAGTCCACCCCAGATCTACTAGCCAGAACCTCTAGGGCTGGGCCCAGTCATCCCGTCCTTTGACAAGTCTGCGAGGGAACCTGATACTCTCGGAAGTTTAAGAGCCATTGCCCAAGGGGTGGCTTGACTGGGAAGGGACATGAAATGATTTCAGGTGGTATGCAAAGAAAATGCGTCTTAGAGAAGTGTGTGTGCACAAGCATGTGAACACCAGAAAAGCATTTAAGGGATACAAGCAACATGTGATATCAGCAAGTTTTCTCCTTCAGTGAATTCACGTAGAGATGGCAGATCTGTGAAAAGTTAAGTAGACGACAGCATAGGAGGGGTGAGGCAGAATCATGATTGTGGCGTGTGCGTGAGTCTTGGAGGTTTAGGAAACCCTAAACTGTTAACGGTAGAGATCTCAGGTGCCTGCCTGAGGTGGAGTTTCCTGGCAGGGGCTGTTTTTATCTTATTCTATAGATGTGGGGTACAATTTAGGGTTAGGTATACAAATGATCATAATGTTCATATGTGCATTATGCAGCTGCCCTTGTTGATGAGGTGTGCCTCTCCCTCCCCTGGCAGTTTCCCTCAACTGCCAATCCCTTTATTTTTTTTTTAAAAATTTTTTTTTGAGTTGGAGTTTCACTCTATCGCCCAGACTGGAGTGCAGTGGCTGCTCCTGCCACCGCAGCCTCGACCTGCTGGGCTCCGGCGATCCTTCCGCCTCAGCCTTCCGAGTAGCTGGAACTACAGGTGCGCGCTGCCACGCCTGGCTAATTTTTTGATTTACGGTAGAGATGAGGTCTCGCCAAGTTGCCCAGGAGGTTCTCGAACCCGCGGGCTCAGGCAATCCACTCACCTCGGCCTCCCAAAGCTTGGGATTACAGGCTGAGCCACCGAGCCTGGCCTTATTTTATTTTATAGATGTGGGGTACATTTTAAGGTTAGGTATACACATGTTCATAATGTTCATATGTGCATTATGCAGCTACCCTTGTTGAAGAGGTGTGCCCCTCCCTCCCCTGGCAGTTTCCCTCGACTGCCGATCCCTTTCTTATAGTCTTAGGGCAATTGTTCAAGGTCCGCAGATGAGTGAGAATATATGGTACTCTGATCTTTGTTTTTGTGATGGATCACTGAGTGTGATGGACTCTAAGTCCATCCAAGTTGCTGCGAAGGGGCAGGGGCTGTTTCAGGAGCCGTCTGAGCAAGGGAACTGGGACTGGGGCTGTACCTGCTTTCTCTTGTAGAATCCTTTGCGGTCACAGTTGGGCAGGTACACGGCGCGGGGCACCATGCGTGGGCTGGCTTTGAGCTCCTGCAGAGACGCCTCCATGTGTCTGCGGCAGGGGCCCTGTGGGGACAAGCGTGTGAGAGCCAGGAAACACCCAGATGTACAGACATGCGGCCCGGGGATGGGAACCCAAGGGACCGCGGAGGAAAGTCACCACCTTTGGTTCTAATCAGCTGCTACGAAGGATCTGTCCTTCCTCTCACCTGCTGTGTGCCCTGGGAGTGTGCAAAGCCCACGTTGGACCAAGGGCAGAGCCACATTTTTCCTTTGGTCTCCCAGGCCACCCATCTTCAGCTTTTCTATCATGCTGAGAAATGACATCCAGAGGCGCCCGTCTTTGGAGGCTCTAGGAGCATGTCCAGCTTCTGCCTAGGACCAGATCCAGCACCGGGACTCCTGCACCACCTGGCGTGCGGTCGCTGGACTGGCAAGCACTTTTTTCTTTTTCTGAGTTAGGGTATCACTCTGTTACCCAAGCTGGAGTGCAGTGTGTGATCACAGCTCACGGCAGTTTTGACCTCCTGGTCTCAGGCAATCTTCCTGCCTCAACCTCGCGAGTAGCTGGGACTTCAGGCACGCACTACCACATCTGGCTAATTTTTTATGTTTTAGTAGAGATAGAGTCTTGCTGTGTTGCCCAGGCTAGTCTCGAACTCCTGAGCTCAAGCATTCTTCCCACCTCGGCCTACAGAAATGCTGGGATGGCAGGCAAGAGCCACAGTGCCCAAGAGGTACTTTTCTTGGATAAGTACTGTCTCTCGTCCCGCTCACTCGGACATGCCTGTGTTCCTTACAAATGTAAGCTCTGGGAATTCTCCTCCCGTGTCCTACACTGAGCCACCAGGGTTGGAGGTAGGTCCTTTGCGGAGTCTAGTCTAAGTGTCTCTTGCTGCCACCGATGCCTGTTTAGATAGAGGGAAAGGCCAAAAGTCCTGAGCGAGTCCTCGAGACTCACCTGCTCAGACTCCTGTCTCATCTCGGGTGCGGAGATGACCCGGGGGTGGGCGGTGTTCTCGGCTCCCCCCACAAACTTGGATTGGGTCAGCTTCTTTCTGCGGTCCTTCTTCACCGCCTCGGCCTTCAGTTCGGAGATGCGGGTGTGCTTGGGCCGGAAGATCTTGGGAGCGTAGGTCTCCTCGGCCATCTCGGAGGTGGTGGGCTCCTCGTGTTCGCGAGAGTCTCTCTCTGCAGGACAAGGAGCTGGGGGTCAGCCCCCGTGGGCCGGAACGCAGGCGGCCAGAGCCCAGGGCGGGGGGCTTCGGGGTGAGGGGAATAAAGGCTGAGGCAGACGGGGTCTCTGCCCCTCTGGAGGGCGCCAGACCGAGGGAAGCAAGGACATACGAACCAGGAAGAAGAGCGGATAGGGGCGTAAGTGGTGGGAAGTTTCTGGCATGGCTGGAGTCCAGCAGCCAGAGTGTAGGTAGGAAGACTTCGTGGGGTAGAAGGGTCTAGAAAGACTGAAAGACGAGGGGAAGAGGGAGGAGCATTCTGGAGGCAGGAAGGAGGAAGGGCAAGGAAGTGACCCATGCAGGGATGAGGGTGGGGGGATGTGGCTTGCTTGTTGGGGGGGCGGGAGGGGGCACATGGCTAGGTAGATGAACAGTGGCTGGAGGTGGGGTTGAGAAGCGGGAACCTGAGATGGAAAGCAGGGGACGGCTGGGGTATGGACAAGAAAAGCCAAACTTCTTCTCTTAGTGGGGTCCTGGTGCTTTCAGAACTGCTGGGCGTTGAGGTATATTTGGATCCGGGGCCAATCCCTTTATTTTTTTAAAGGCTGCCGGGAGCCTGGAGCTGCAGGGTTCTGGGACCATCATGAAGGGCTGGAGGGGGGGACCCGGGAGATGGGAGGACCAGAAATGTGGGGCCTCGAGGAGCACATGGGGTGGGAGCCCTCCCTCCTGCCCTGGCTCAGGCATGGCGCCGTGCTCGGGCCCTGGGGGCTGGTTCACTTCTCAGCTCCAGCCTGAGACAGCTGGCTGGGGCCGGGGCAGTTATATATAGGCGTGACTTGGTGACAGGCTATACTTAGCTGGCTTTTGACCTTTAGAGAAGCAGAACTTTGTTCATGTATTTGTGGATCCTCAGTTCCACCCGCCCAGCCTTTGCTCGATCTGCAGATTTGCACTGAACTTTCACCTCACAGGTGCCCATCTCTGGGTCCCCTTTCTCCTCTCAGCTCCTTGGCCTTCCCCGTCTCGGGAGAGGAGACCCGGAGGGGGGCGGTCTTAGATGGCTGTTCCCAGGTGTGGCAGGGTGTGGCCAGGATGCCCCAGGGGTGGCAAGTGGTGGGGAGCCCCTCTTCATCATTCCTTTTTCCCAAAGATTTGAAAAAGAAAACAGAGCCTTGGATGACCCTAAATGACTAAGATGGGGTGAAAGATATTTCTGTCCGTCACTGCTTCAGGATTCCAGGGATACCCAGGAAGGCCATAGCCAGGCATCTGGGAAGAGAATAGAAGGGGAAGGAATTCAAGGGAGTGGGGATGGGGGTGGGAGTGGAAGGAAAGAAAAGCTCCTTTGAGAAGACCCTGTTTAATGTCCCTGGGGCAGGCTTCTGAGCTTGCAGCCTGGGGGAAAGTTCCAGGGGTGTTGGGAAAAGCATTGGGACACCTGGCCTAACCTGGTCAGAATGGCAGGTGGCAGGACACACCCAAGCGCTTCTTTCTCTTTTGGCTCAGGATTTGTCAAACTTAATGAAACAGGTATCTGGTCTTTCAGGCCTGGGTGGGGAAGTGCTCGCCCTGAAGGAGCCTCTGAAGGTGGGCAGTGTTCGGTTAGTTGCTTTGGAAATTTATTCCCCAGAGAGGAAGGGAAGTCATTACAGGAAGAGATGAAGATAAAAGGGAGAAAGCAGATGGGGGTCGGGGGGTGGTGGGCGGCAGCTTGCTTTCAGACAAATTCAACACGGGGATCCCGGTGCCCCACTTTGGGCTTTCTTTCTTTCTTTCTTTTTTTTTTTTTGAGTTGGAGTCTCACTCTGTTACCCAGACT